AACTGGCCAGTGCACGGACTGCCCGTGCGAAGATGCGTTTTTTGCATAGTTCCCCGCAGATTTTTTCGTTAGCAGCACTGTTTTTTTCCGGCAGATGCTTCTAGCTAAAAGAATTTCAAACTGACCGCCAGGACTGTCAGGAAACATCCTTTCAAAATCTCAGTCCTCTAACTTATCACGTTCCCGAGTTAACTTACCCGAAAAATCTCCACAGGCCCGCACGTGGGTACCACGCATACCCGGGGGCTGGACTTGAGCTCACTGAGACTTAGGTAGGGGGGGGGGGAATATCCTCCTAAAGTTAGTCTTCTTAAATCCTCGAGTTAGGGAGTTACCCGAAAAAAATAGTGGTGGGCCCGTATGTAGGTACCACGCATACCCCGAGGCTGGGTTTGAGCTCATTGAGACTCAGGTGGACGGGAAATATCCTCTTAAAATTACAGCCTCCTAACTTTTCGAGTTAGGGACTTACCCGAAAAAAATTTTGGCGGGCCCATGCGCGGGCACCACGCATACCCGAGGGCTCGGTTTGAGCTCACTGAGACTTACGTGGGCGGGAAACAACCCCTTAAAATTTCAGCCTTCTAGCTTTTGTGGCTCTCGACTAAGCGACTTGCAAAAAAACTTTCAGGGGCCCGTACATGGGTACTACGCGGGTAAGAGCGCCCATTTTGGGGATTGGGGCCCGTACGTCCCTGTAGATTAATTTCCTAAAACTAAGCCCAGCTGAATCTGCAACAGCACGGCGAAGCTATCTTCTTCTTCCAAATCCCAATCTCTCTTGCGCAGCAAAGGCTGCCCGGGCGCGATCGTACAATGGCAGATGCAACTTTTTATACAACCTCAAAATTGGGTTTTTAAACCATAAGAAATGATAACAAAATACGATGTCTAGAACCTATATGCGCCTAATGCACTCCCATTCGTGGCCTTATCGTAAAAATACTCTCTATCAAGACTAAGGCAACAAGGGGTTATTGAGAGAAGGTTAGGGGGAATTTAAGAGCAAATAAAAGGAAGCAATCCGAGAAAGGCGGAGGGGGAGGGGGAACAAAAAGAAATAATAGGTAGGGCAGCCGGTTGGCCCCACTGCCGAACAACGATGATGGGAGCCGCCGCGCAGCGCCCTAGCTCGAGTGAGTAATGACTCCATGCTATAGAAGCGCGAATGGCGGCGGTGGGGCAGTGCCGGTTACTGCACGCTCATTGGCCCTCCCTTTTAAAGGAAGGATCCAATTTGTTCACCAGTTATTTAGGAGGGAGGAAGGGAGGAGTTGAGATCAACCAAATAGTGG